TTCTATAATACAGTCATTCCCTTTGCCAGAGGTTTTTCCACATTCTAAGTAACTGACAACTAATTATGCCTACAATGAGCCTGATTTATACTTCAGGCCTTGCAGGTTGTTTCTTACCCCCATTCACTTTTTTAAAGCTTTACTATTAGCTTTGTTTGGAAGTCTAGTTAAACATGCAAGAGATTTCTTGTTTCCATTTCCCACATCCCTGGCCCTTTGACTTTTACTTTCAGCAAAACGGTTAAGCTCATTTTGCCTTTTTGCTAAAAGGCTACAGCCACCGAAATACATTTTATTTTAATCAATAAAACACTTCATCAGGTTTTCAGAAAGTGCTATTGTATTTTCATAAAGTCTTGCAGTAAGTACACCTGTAGAATCAGTTCAAGTATCAAAGCAGTTGGAGAGGCAGCGCACTAACGAAAACATGTAGTGAGGGGACCATCTAGTGGTGACTTGACTACATCCCATGCACTTTTAGAAGAAAAGCACCCATTCTCTTCAAGTAGATGGGCATATTTTCTCAGTTTTGGTCTGTCTTTAGTTTATAACTCCAATAATGTATTATATTTAGATTTCAGCTTTCTGTGCTCAGACTATGTGAATGGATTTGTTGATTTTCATCAACATGTTCCTGTTATAAAAATAACAATGCCAGTTCTGTATATACGGAAGCTGCTCACAGCATCAAGTTTTTGATTTGAAAATGCTGCCATGAATGAAGTTGCTAGGAGGTGGTCTAGTAAGTAGGTTTCTATTTACCTCACAGATCTCTCTTCAGCAAGGAGATCTCTAATACCATCTTCCTTAATAAATACAGGAGACCAAAATAATCAGTCAAGAAATAACAGTTTACTTTGTATGTTTTACATCTCCAACACATCTCACCTGAACAGACTAGCAGGTTAACAGACCAAATGATAACATAACGAGGGCATAAGTACATTGATGCAAACTAGCAGGGACAGGAGAGCAAAGCTTACATTGGAGAAAGCTGACTGGAAAAATCATACAATACATAACTAGTGACTGGACTCTAAGTCTTTACTGAACATTTCAAACAACCGCAGAGACACCCTTCCCCAGCTACCACATTAATAGAAGCTGTGAGAAACCCTCCTCCCTAATGAAGCTGCCAAGGGTAGAGTAGGCACAGGGAGAGGTTTATCTAAGTGCGCATTTAAATACAGATGAAGAAAAGCTGGTGAACTTTTATAACCCAGTTGAACCATAAAGCAGTAGCGGAGCACTTGTTTCTAAAAGCTCTATTCTGTTTAGTTTCTGAAAACCTCTGATAGGTCCCCAGGTCAGCCAACATTCAGGAGAGATCTCAGGCAGTTTCTCCAGAAGATAACCTGCTTTTTAAGTTAGAAAAACAGGCTTCACTCCAATATAATCTGAAAAAAAAATATAATGAAAATTGCAAGTTTGGTCTGAACAAACCTATTCCTCTTCAGCTTTTGTAAGGGTCTTATGGGATTTTCAGCAGTTCAGAAAGTCAAAAAAAACATTGAATTGAAACTGAGTTCTTCTCCATACCTTGATGCAGGGTTACCTAACTGTTGCCTCATTTTCATACCAATCACATATTCTGACTTGTGTACCAGCTTGTTTTATGACATCTTTACAGTACAGGATGGAGCAGGTGGAACTGAGAAGGTTCTTGAGGACTATGGAGTATGCTCAAGCTCTTTCCCCTCCAGGTTCTTTATGAAGTGGGGAAGAGAAGTCAGGAATAGGTAAATCTCACCCACCTTCACTGTTTACTTTCTCAAAGGAAATTGAAACTTCTTCCAAAGTTTCAAGAGGAATTTCCAAAGGAATAAGCAGCTGAAAACAAACCACTCACCAAGGTCCACGTGGATGTGCTAACTCTGGAACAGTAGATGGGAGTTGTGTGCTGGCTTTACATCCAGATTTTCAAAACTGACTATGCAACCTTATAGCATCAAGAGACTAACAAAGCACTTTGCATCCCAGTTAAGGCCACAGCTACAGTGGCCTGCTAGACAGCAGACTCCAACTGCACATGGATAGAAATCATATTACAAGTGACTACAGAATAAGTCTGAATGCCAAGATGTATTTTATTTGAGGTAAGGGCAAGCAGTGAAGTGGTCATTTTCTTCAGTTTCCATTAAACTGACAAGCAGCTGTTTGGAAGCAGTTCAATAAGAAAGAGCAAATGAAATACAGAGTAGTAACTAGAACCCAAATAACTCCTAGTCCCAAGAAAGGACAGAACACCCTCAAAAATGTCATTGGACACCAGTATAAGCAAGTGTACAAAAATTCAAATTCTATTTTTTCTTTTACTGGTATCAACTGGTATGCCTGTGGAGAATGAGTTCCTTTACCACTAAAGGTATAGGATTAGGAGCTCCATATAAAGAAACAAATCCAGCATTATCTTCAACAAGAGAAATCTAAGACTGAGCAACTTCATATATCAAGTGCCCTGTGGACTCCTGCAGCATTCTTCTTTGCTTCCTCAGATGAAAGATTATGTTCCTGGGGGATTTACATTCCCTTTCCTTCCCTGACACTCACACAGCATGCTTTCCTTGTACTCCTGTTCAACTGCCATTCTCCTGTGTCTGCTCCAGTAGCTCTGTAAACGTGACCTCTGAAGTGCCTCTTTCACCTTCTCATTGTTTCAAGGATGCTTGAATACAGCAATAAGAAAGAGACACATATTAGTCACAGCAGTAACGGAGAAGGCTATAAATGTAAGAACCCTCCCTGCATTTTGTTAGTCCACTTCTAGATTATGGCGTAGAGGTCAGACTGCTAGCAAAGCAAGCTTACTCCTGCACACTTACACCATTATAAATTAACCTCCACTGAGGTGAGAGACTTTGCAGATGCCTGGCCAGGATTCTAGAAGTCAGGAAGTCACATAGTCAAATGAAATATGACTGTTGGCTCTCAATTGCAGCACAGAAGATCTGCCAAAGAAACACACAGATAGCACAACAGACCAGACTAGGACAGGTATATGTTTTACTGAAGTTAACAGCCTATAGACCTTCTTTCCAGATCACTGACCGGTCTTGCAAGATGGAAAATGTCCACAACATTATCATTTATAACCCTCAAGAAGAAGATGAGATGGTACTTAAGTCATGGCAAAAGACTAGGGACAAGACTAAAAGTATAACCTTGACAAGAGATCTAGTTAGACACTCCAGAAAAGACACAAAGACAGATATTCAATTCAGAAAAGCTGTAAGAAAACCACACAAAATTCAGATGATTTTCCCGTGTCCACTTTGCCTATTTCTCTGATGCTTCAATGCTTGCCTTAGTGAATGATCAAGCTGCTGATAGCAGGCTACTATAATTTTCCCATATTTAAGTCTTAAATAAAAAGCTTTTTTATCTTATGATAGGAATGGGGATTATTTATAAATCTTTCATCATTGTTTATTAACATTCTTGCAACCTCAAGACAAGATTTGAGGCCACTCTTTTCCCACAGCAATCAACAAACTCTTGCAAACTGGAACATGAGGAAGAAAGGAAAAGGAGAGCAGTCTGACATGCTGGGACAGAAGCACTCCTAGGAATCAGGAGAAACAGAACTTGCCAGAGTTCCCTATGCTGTTTCTGCTGCTTTGTCTGTCAGGACTGGCTCATAATTTGACTGTCCGAGGTGTTGAGAAGTGTTTGGCTAGCCAAATAGGTTCTGAAGTAAATATTACCCTTTCCTCTAGCCTGCAAAGAGGTTCTCTTCATTTTGTGACTTACATTCCACACAGGTTTTGATAATATATTTATAGATACATCTAGTATCAAGACTGAGCTGGTGGTTAGATCTCTACCCAGAATCTCCATGGAAATCCAGAGTTTATTCTGCACATGCAATGGTGGTAAAAAGGCATTTTGTCTTATCCATCCACCACTCCAGACACACTAATAACTCTTAGTTTATGATACTTTGATATATCCATTACTGCAATCCCATTGCAGCATGGCAGGAATCACATTATTACCTCTTCTCATTTTTTGAGAAACTCTGTATCTTCTTTTTAAAGTTAGCACAAATAAGCCCATGAACTACACACTCACCCCCTCAAGCTATTCATGGCATTTCTCATTTTCTCATCCACATGACTTAAGAGTCAATTTCTCTAAGGTGCTTGTGCAAAATTAGTAGATGAAAGCCTCTTCAATCAGTATGAATTGCGGATAGCTTAATTCAAGCCCAGAGACAAGCCTGAGTTTAGGGTTAATCTTCTAGTAATAATATTACAGCGCATTATCACAGCTCCAAAACTGTGGGGTCATACGCATATATTTATCATATACTCAGAAGACTTTTTGCCTCAGTAAAGTAATGTTATTTTGTGAAAAGCTTGGTCACATTACTTGTGCAGATCCCCCATTATTGCCAGGGAAGCTTGTCTTCTGAAGAGAAATTGCTGTTATGTAGAACAAATCTAAATGATTCCAGATCAGAATATAAAATAGCATTCATAATTGTGTCACAAGTTCAAAGACTGAAATCTATTAAACATTCAAAACTACAAATACACCATAAACATTACTTTCCACCGTTATGTTTTTCCAATCATAGTTTTATTTATTTTTTCAGTCCGTATTATGCATCTCTAAAGAGACTCAGTAGTTTAGGTTCAGAGAATGGAAGTGTTGACTTATTCCTTCACCTGGGATAAGAAAGCTACAGAAAAGCAAAATGGAATTAAAGCATGGAAGAAAATAATTACTTTGGATGTTAAAATATTATTCAAAAAAAAAATCAGTATTATCTTTATAAGTTCATATCTTGTTCAAGACGTAAGAAAACAACTATTTTGTGTTTAATATTCTTTGCCTCATTTTAACTCCTCCCATCCCCCTACATCAGATAAAAGACATTATCATTGAGAAAGATGGTCTCCCCTCTAGATAACAGTAGCCTGCAGCCTTTCAAGATTTAAGTTAACCCTCAACTATTCACAGGTAAACAAATAAAGAGTATGCAGCAAGGAGCTTACCTTTTACACCACCAAATGGTCCATAAGTCATATTGCAAGCAGTTCTCTGAAGATTATGTTCATACATCAGTTTAATCTGATACTGGTTCCCATGTTCCACATTCCCCTGAGTTCCTACCCGAAAAAAAAGTATATATTTCACATCATTTATCCATGCAATTTGGAAGAAGGAGTATCAGTTTAAAGAGCAACCTGAAAAGCTGTAACTTATTCCTAGTGACTTAGATACGAGGGCTGACGTTGCTGTTTTCTTAAAAGAACAGAATTCTCAAAGGCCAGAACCACAACTAAGGTCCCAATATACTAATTACTATATAAAGATTTAGCAAGATGCTGAAGTTTTATTGTTCAATAGTTTTCTTCATGTTAGGCACACCTTTAAGATCAGAAAAAGTCTACTCAAAAAGGCAGAATTCTTAAAATTCTCGCTTTTATTCAGTGGATATACTATATCCAACAACACAGGCTGAGTTGTAAATGTCTTTGCCTCAAATTGAGCTGTAGCCAGTTAAGGTTTTTTTTTTTTTGGAAAAGCTATGTTTTTTTTGGAAAAGCTATGTTTAGGGTACATTTATCACTTGCCTTTACCCAGTCTGAAATTCAATGCAGTGATTTAAGAGTGCAAAGAGAGACACACACATACAGTGACAGCAATAATTTTATCATACATATCACATTCTCAAAAGCATCTGCATAAACTAGTTTTCTGAACCCTTCACAGAACTAGCAGAAATTCAAGAAGCCTTTCTAAAGAAACTGAAGGTACAGCTCCCCTTTTAATAATCAAGAATATTTTCTGTCTGCCCACAAAGAAAAATACTCAGAGTTCTTCACTGTATAGAGTAACACTTTAGGAATCGTATTAGAAAGCAAGAAAAAAAAAAACAACAATAAAAAAGACTGAGAATAGTTACATCAGCATAGAAAAAAAAAAAAAGATCTCTTGAGCAAATGAGATCTAAACCAAGCCTATCACAACTTGAGATATGCAAAGATTACTTCAACACTCATCTTAAACAACATGCCATGAAAGACTTGTAACTCACGCTAACCTTTTAGGGAACTGCTCCAACTAAAATCCACTACAGCTCTTAAGCTGTTACCATGAAGGTAGGCCCACATTCAAGAGAATATCGGAACAGACACAGAGGAAAGCCCTGGCTGGATGAGTACCTACTTAAAGAGCAATATCAGAGGAAAAAGAATCAAGAAGGTAATCAGTCTGTGCATACTAATGATAATACAAGATCCAGGCCATTCTTTAGTTAGCCTTGAAGGATGCTTTCATTCATACAGGAGAAACAGCATAGATTTGCCTTATTACGAATAACAAACACCTTGTAATGTGTATAAAACATGTAAAATTTCACTTTATGACACCAAAATTTGCTGTGGAAGCATAAAGAAATAGTGGTTTGGTTTTTGAAGGAGCTGGTTCAAGAGTTTGAAGAGTTCTGATAAAGTTACTATCACAGCATGAATGCTTACCAATTAGCATGAAGTATCTATTGAAGGACTGTAAAACAGTATTACTTTGGTGTTTAAGCCACATAGACAGCAAGTTATAATTAGAAAGAGTTCTAAACTGACCTGTTTGTTGTATGCTGTTAATGAAAGTATTAAATTGTTTTAATAAGTTATACTGGCAGGCAACAACTGTAAAACTTAAGTACCTTTACAGAGAAGCACAAGTATGGAAGTGGCATTATATCTCAAAGTATTACCCCTCAACAAAGACCAACTTTACAGGTGTCTCCATGCAAGATAACTAGTAGACAGTTTGGTTATGAAGACATGCTGTCCTTTCAGATTCTATCTGCCCACTGAGCTATGAACAGGAAGTAAGCTGCTCCTAGAAGTAAACTATGCTTTCACAGTGGGAGCAACCCCAGCTGTCACTGCACAGAGGTGAACAATATGTGGTTGTCTACTGAATTTTGAAGACAAGGATACAGTCAGTAGAACTCTTACATATGTGCTTTGCACATGTACTAGAAAGAATTCAATGCACAGAGTCTTGTGTGACTTGTCTCTTTATATACTGCATGAACAGAACACTTAGATTTCCAGACAAAGGAAATAGGAAAAAGAAGATTTAAAGAAAAACCATAGTAATTTCACCTTTTTACCAACGTTAACCTCTTATCTTCACCTGGGCTGCATTACCAATCTTCTGGCTTTCTAGAAGTTCAGATTTTTGAGTTAAGAAGTAACTATAATTTTTTCATACTTAAAAAAATAGGTAAACTATCATTAAACAACCATTTGACCATTAGCATGCTAAATAGTAAGTTATTTTTAGAACTGTAACAAGCACTAGTTATTCAAAAGCAGAAATTTTACCATACCCCTATGTACATTCAGACAAATCCTTCATAACATGCAGACACTGCACCAGCTAAGACTCATAGCTAATCTTTGTAAGCAATGCCATGACTTCTTACAGAAGTCGTTGTTATCAGATCAACTCCATCTTCCTGTGGGAGAGCAAGTAGAACAACACAAGAAAAAAAAAAAAAGCAGGACTCCAGCACTGCTAATTGCAGACACACATCACAGTATCTCAAGCACCAAGCAGATCACCAGGTCATTAGCCACTGGGAGTTATTTGGATGTAATTACTAACATTTCTTCTTCTTACATGAGTGAGTGCTAGAACATGATGACTGCAGCTCGCTCTACAGGGATGATGAGCAAACACTATATATTCCAAGTTAAGTATTTAACCTGATCCAACTTTAGTATGATCCTAAAACCACAAGATAGTTTGCATCTGTAAACTAACCTGAAACAGCATATACACAGAGTTTTCGGCAATGCAACACAGCCAGATGAAGTCCTTCAGTACCACTGTAAAAAAGGGAGAAGGAAAAAACAGTTAAGATAAATTTCAAGTAAAAATGCATGAGATAAAAATTCAAAATCACTGTCAAAATGTCAATATTACTTTCAGGTGTTGGCCAGGTTTAAGAATATTAGATGCGAACATAAAACAACCAAGAACTAATCTTCCAAAATTTAAAGCTACTTTCAAAATTAAAATGAATCCTTACAGAACATTTTTTTCAGATTTAAGTATGAAAGGCAGGTCAGCTATTTCCCCAGTTTAGCTTGCAAATCATTCCAAACAAGATGCTGTTTTCTCTCAACTTCTCAACTCTTCAAAAAACTAAATGGATGGGAAGATCAGTATTTGAGACAAGTACTATTCAGCAGCCACATACATGGTTTTTAAAATTCAGTTTTGTACTACTTGCAAAACTAAATCAATTAAACTATTCACCTTCCTCTTGCCCAAAAATTAAGTAGTACTTCCAGTTGAGCAGGCTCTTGTGCTAAAATTAAAGAAAAAGTTTTAGATCTCTTCACAAGCCAAAGCATTATCATTTCTGCATGAGGCCAGTCCATGAGTACTTAAAGAACAAAATCCAACAGACATAAGCCTTTTGTCTTGAAAAAAATTTAAGGAACTCTTCCCATGGTAAGTACAGGCTTGACTCATAGTTTAGAATGATATTTCCTCCTATGTAGATTCTCTTATATCTAATTAAATATAGAGTCTTTTCCTTAGGGCCATAGTATTTCTCCTCTATCTGGAGGCTTATTTCCATTAAATTCCTTAGTATCTACGATCTTCAATCTTCTATCAAACATCCCAAAACTGAGCAATGTTACATCTTGAAACACCATAAGTTACTGAAATTTTCTGTTAACACCTAAAAAAGTATTTTTTTTCCTGTTCTATGTATTTTTTTTTAAGTATAAGTACCTGGAAGATTTTCCTTCAGTAGGACATTAAGCAAAAAATCTCTCCTATGAAGACGGTTCAACAAGCAGACCAAATGCGTACTATGGTATTCACAGATGCAATCAATCAGCATCAATAAGGAAACTGAAGCCACTCCCCACCATCCAAAACAATTAAAGTAAAACATCTAAGCCTTAAATAATGATCAGCAACACACGCTGTTGTTCACTTACGAAACAAATTTTCCCACTTCCACCTGCAGTATTGGTTCTTGTAACTGCACTTCCAAGAGCAAGTCTTCAGCTTGCATGTCATCCCCAGGTTTCACAGGATGTGGATGAAAGATTCGGAGATATCCCATATAACTGCCCACAATAATTTTATCTATAAAAAAATAACCAAATGAGATTACAAAATACAATAACACGTGTAGAACTAGATTTAGTGCAGAAATGCTCCAAAGAATACCCTAAAATGAAAGAATATTTCCATGATTCAATTAACACTGATTATGTTCTATCTTCTAGACAGAGCAAGTAGTAATTAGGTTAACAGAAATGAGTTTTTTTTTCTTACCAATGTAAGCCTGTCAGCAAAGGGTTCAAAATAGCAGTCATAATGGTGGTAGCACTGACCTTTGTTACCACTATAATTCTAAACTGACGTTCACACTTGTTAGGAAAAACATCAGTTTCTGTTTTTTGATAGTAACTCAAACTTTTAGCTTCAACAACTAGGATTTGTGTTTATATGTATCATACCAGCAGAACTGCTAAAATTTAAGATTGGAACTGCTGACACTTACACAAATCCAAACTAGATAGAGATAATTACTACATCAGGTCAACAGATTAAAACAAGAAAGCAAGGCCTTGAGACCACCTGATCTTGATACAGTTTGCTTACCAAATTGAAGTACAATAGTCACACTAGGTTTATTCTGGGATCAGTATTTTAAACAAGCATGCATTTGCTAACAACCAAGAGACTTACAACAAAATTAATTAAAAAAAAAAAAAAAGAACTGCCTCCCATGATAACTGCTAACAACCTAATGGTGTAGCTGGGACTTATTTCCTTCAGATATAGGGCAACTTTATCAACGAAAATCAAATCCAATAGGATTTGTCTGTAAGTAAGGACAATTGACTAATGCTCCCAAACCAAGTTCACCAGTCTCTAAAGGTTTGGCATAGTTCCACAGGACCTCAAGTCAATAGTTCAGAACAGCTACCTGTGTCCTCTCTTCTCTAACAAGAAAAAAAAAAAAAAAAAAAACTTGCACCCACAAGTCCCTTATTCATAGAATATTGTCCACTTCCTCCACTCATCTTTTCCTCAGCTCCGTAACAAGTATTCCAACAGCAGTAAATTAAGAATGGTATAACCTGTATGATTAAACCTATTTTAGAATTTATTAAAAATACTTATCTACGTAAGGATATTTTGCCCTATTGCTTGGCTACTGCAACTAGCTGCATTCACTTTTGGTTCTGAACTCCAGACAAAAAGAAGCCTAGTTTTAAAAGATAAAATGTTACAATGTTTATTACAAAGGAATTTGTTACAAGTGTTTATTTATTAGTTTACTAGAAGTGTAAATAAACATTTTATTGTTACTAATTACAAGACTGCTACTCCTACAATGCTATTTAAGCTCTGCTTTTATATCAGTTACATTTTTCCATTAAGAACAGATTCTACCTGTAACACCTTCAGTTCAATTCCATTTGAAAAAGTTAAACAGAAACATAACTCAACTTTGTTGAAATTCTCCTGAAAAGAAGTCTAGCAATGGTGAAATCAAACTCTAGAATCTCTACTAAGCAAGAACAAATATGTGAGATAGGCACAATAGTCTCATATAGAAAGCCTCAAGTATTTAAATATATACACAAGAACTCTCCCTGACAGGAAAGATCATGACTGGTGTAAATATTCCCTCAAAGAGGCATCGTTTCAGTTCCAGACTTCACTTTCATATTATTAATGACTATGTAAAAAGGCAGGGTTTATGGAGAGTTACTTATTTCAATGTCCTCACATTTTCCACACACAACTGGCTGTTTTCTGGTTCTAAACATCTTCTTAGCTTTGTTAATTCTCACCCTCCTTCTTAAAAACTCTTTCACCTGTAAGTTCTTTTAATAACTGATATAGTTGCATCCATGACAAATTTAAAAAGTTTTGTTTTAAAGATACCTACCACTGAGAGAATAAAACATGAGAGAAACTACTACTGAACACAAGAAAGAAATTAGATGGTTAGAAACCCAGATACATACCAGACAAATGGTACTGTACGTGTCTTATTAATTCTATACGGACACATTAAAAAAAGCAGACAAACTAATTAGTCTGGCTAACAAGTTTTCAGTACATGTTGATTTGATAAAAGTAAACCTGCACCTGCATAGCTTAGGAGTAACCAGTCAACTAATTGTAATTTTACCTTGGCCACTGTTATCAACATCAGCAACACACAGACAACCTTGATCAAATTCTTCCTTTTCTCCAAGCGTTGTGGACCACCAGTCTCGAGCTTTAAACAAGGACATTCTTTTTCACTGGAAAGGAAACAAACTGTTGTTACAATCTATTCTAACATATACATCAGTCCAAACAAACATCCTTTTTCATTGGTAACAACTAAGTATATTCCATCTGTTAGTTTCACATTGCTCTAGTGGAAGCCGAATACATGTCAATTTCAGATGTTTCTGGTCAGGTACTTTAAAAGAAATCTTGCCATGAATTCACAGACTAATTGTGATGGATTAGCATTAAAAGATAAAAAAGCAAATGAGTTGCAATTTTTTTAAAGCTATTAAGTCTCTTGTAAGAAGCATTAAAACCAGTCGTTTAAAAGTTTTTAAAGCCACAGAGCCGAGGTTCTCTTGCTCACCAAGGAAAACCAGCAAAAATATGGTTTCTGATGCTGGTCCTCCATAAAAGAGTTTATTTTAGAGAAGCGAATGAAGATATAAATAGCATCCAAACCTCTACTGATTAATCGCCTTGAAGGTGCCCTAGTGACGCAACCAAAGAACTTGGCCAGACAGGGCACAAATCAGCTTTCCTGCTCCTTACCTGCTGCTATTTTAAGGACCAACAAACACAACTAATCCTTCTGCCCGCGGCTCACTAATAACACTACCACAGTTCAAAACTCACAGCTCCTGGCCCGTGTTTTGTGCCAGCTGCACCTCCAGAAAATCACAGAATGGTTTGGGTTGGAAGGGACCTTAAAGCCCACACAGTTCCACCCCCCTGCCATGGGCACGGACACCTCCCACCAGCCCAGGCTGCCCAAAGCCCCATCCAGCCTCCCCATCCAGCCTCCCCATCCAGCCTCCCCATCCAGCCTCCCCATCCAGCCTCCCCATCCAGCCTCCCCATCCAGCCTCCCCATCCAGCCTCCCCATCCAGCCTCCCCATCCAGCCTCCCCATCCAGCCTCCCCATCCAGCCTCCCCATCCAGCCTCCCCATCCCTCCAGAAGCCCACAGCCCGCCTGCCCCCTCCGGAGGCGGCCCTTACCGGGGGACCGGCAGCGCGGCTCCCGCCCGAGGCTGGGAGCTGAAGGCCGGCGCCGTTACGGTCCCTTCCCCGCCGCCATTTCAGGCGCCGTTGCCAGGGCGCCTTGGCAACCACCGCCGCGGGCGGCGCTGGGAAATGTAGTTCGGTGCCGGCGGAAGTGGTGCTGGGCAAAGTGGAGGGGGAGACAGTTGGGTCCTCCCACTTCTGCCCAGGGAGGGGGATGAGCGGGGAAACAGAACATCACTCGCACTCCAGAGGACCATCCAGCTCCCGGTGGGTATTTTCCCTTTCCACACCGTCTCTCACCAACCTTCTTTCTTTCTTCAACGGCTGTGTTTTTCCCCATTTTTTCCCCCCTTTCCCTCCCCCTTTCCCTGAGACTTGGTACGGCCGGGCCTGAGGCGGCGCGGCCGTTGCCGGGCGGCGGGGACGGGCGCTTGGCGGCGGCCGCCATGGACCGCGCCGCCGTGGCCAAGATGGGGGCGGTGGCCAGCGCCAGCCTCTGCGCCCTGGTGGGCGGCGTGGTGCTGGCCCAGTACATCTTCACCATCAAGAAGAGGACGGGCAGGAAGACGAAGATCATCGAGATGGTGCGTGGTGAGGGGCGCCGCGGGGGCAAGGACGGGTGAGAGGGGCTCAGCCGGGGCACGGCGGTGGCGCTGAAGCCCTTCCAAAACAAACCCGAGTTTGTCACCTGGGCAGCGCTGCGCCGGGGAGCTGGGCAGAAACCGGCCCGTCCCGGCCCTTGATATCCGTCAGTGCCTGCTGGTGACCTCCCCTACAAAGCCTTACAAAAAGCCCGGATTCTGTATTTATTGGCTTATCTACACCTGAAAACCCAGACTATCGTAAAAACAACTACATCTGCGTATGCAGACTCAGAAATGTCCCGCTTGCCTATCGACCCCGGCACTTAGCAGTGTCAGTCACATGGGGCACTTTTTGTAGCTCCCGAGCGTTATTCCGGTGAGTATCCTTCACCTGGTGCAGCCCTCTTGCTGCTGGAAGAAGGACTTACATGGTATTTGTAGTTACCAGTCGCATGGTTCATTCAGTGGTTTCCTTTCTGCTTTCCAGGAGCTCTCTTACAACATGTGGGAAAGCAGGAACTTTGGGTTGCCCCCATTTGGATAGCTTTTAGACCTATTTCTTTTTTTTTTAAAAAAAAAAAAAAAAAAAAAAAAAGATTCTAAAGTAGGATTTTTTAAAACATACTGTAGAACAATACTGATTAACTGTAGAATCATAGTCATAGAATGGCCTCAGTTGAAAAGTTTGCAACTAGTTTGCAACTATAAGTTACTCTTTTTTATTTCTAATACTGATAATGCTAGAATCTACATTTATTGTGGACACTAAAATGACAAAATCTAAAAGCCTGATCATATATCAAAAGGCAGATGAAATAGTTTTCACCAACTCCGATTCTCAATATCGCAGTTGAGCTGTAGGTCAAAAAATGCCTAATAATTGCTATGGTTGTGTCTGCATTAACTTTCTCTGCAGTGTTTAAATGATGCATGATGCTGGGAGGACTTCAACTCTTTACCTTTGTTGTAAAGATTTTGCCTTTGTTAGGAAAAAAGTATTGTGTCAATAACAAATCGATTTCTGGTAAATGAATGTCTTTGGTAAGCATTTCAGATAGCTTTTTCAGAACTATATTCTTGGACACCGACCTGTGATCCTAAATAGATACTTCTGAAAATTCTTCTTTTAGGATCAGAGCTTTTTTCAACTGTAAATTACAAGGGAAAAGTAAAGCTTGTTCAGAGCATGTCAGCGTTCTCACACGGAAATATTTTACCAATTAGATTCAACACATTAATACAGTGTGCTCACTTGCAGAGCTGTCATTTCATCTGATGTTTGAGTTGGCATCTTCCTCAGCTGACACCTTTAGTTCATCAGCTGCAAGTCTTCTTCCTTCCTCAAGGAGTGAACATAATCAGGCCGTGAAATTTCTCTTACTTCAAAATAAGGAAATAGCTATGTAAACATCATACCATGGATTTTAATGTCTCAAATAAGGGTGAAAATGCATATAAGTGTTTCTTTTACTTGAATATTTTGCATTCTGGAGAACTTCCTGAAATAATTTTATCTACCAGTGCAGATTTGAGTCAACATTTGTCATTTACAAGACACTGTATCTGTAGTATTTTATCAGGGGATAGACCTTCCTTTTAGCTTTGGGGAAAAGGTGCCTGGATGCACCTGAGGGCCTCATCACTCTCTGGGCATGATGCTGTCCAGTGCACTGTGATCTGTAGCTAGTTTGATCTCCTGAGCTGGGAGTTTATACATAAACTGCAGAGTTCATATATATATATATATATATATACATATTTATATAAAAGATTTGTACTTATATGGCAGAATGCATTCGTACATAGAGATTTTAAGTCTGTAACTTGGTGTAAGTTAGGATGCTGGGGAGAAACAATACTGCTTCGTTGAAATATGTATTTTTCTAACATGTGAGTGACTATGTCAGGCTGGTCTTCTACATTAGATTATCCAATCTAAAATTTCATGAATGTTGTTACCTTTTTGGTAGATTTCTTCCATTCAATTTTTCTTTAAGGAAGATTACACTTTTTTTTTAGACTCAGAGGTACCTTGATTTATAGCTGTTACCAAAATCAGTGGGGATCAGGCCTATTTGCACCTTAGTTATGTGACTTTCATTCTCACCAATGTATTAGTCTTTAATTATAATTAACTACAGCAATATTTTTTTCCTGGTTAAAATCAGATAAATATAAGATCGAAATCCAAGTAAAAAGCTGAGTTATAGCAGTATGTAAATGCTAAAAAGACAGTGACCTTTACAAATCGAATAGAATATAGATTGGACAAGCTATTGTCAGGGGTTATAATGGCAGAATTTTTAATGGGAAAAAAGTAGAAGGGATTCTCAAGCATAGATCTAAATATAAGGGTAGCCACGTTTCCTTTTTGAATAATATCAGTAATGAAATTCTTGAATATCTATCTTCCATTTAAGTAGGTTAATTCTTTAGCACAGGAATTAGCCTCATACACAAATTTAAGCTTGATAAACACAGTGTAAAATTACCGTATTTTATTCAGAAGCAAAAGTTTGAGTTTGGAATTAAAGTATTAATGCAACATCTCTATCAACTGCCTAAAAATTGCAAGTATATATTTTATCTTAAGCACTGATAAATGTAAACAGAGTTACTTTAGCTCCATTTTCGAAGAGGCATTAATAGTAAATATATAGCCAGTCATGAAGTTAAGAAACAAGTGTTAAGAAAACAACTATTTCTGAAAGACTGGGGAGGTATTACTTTGCACAGCCACAATGCCATCTCTATGAAACTGTAAAAGTATTCCTGTGGTCAGGTGTATGTAAATATTAGCTGCAAGGTTGCTAACTTTAATTTAAAGAGAAGGTTAATAATTAGTTGGACTCTTAAAGCAACTTTAATAATGTTTGATAGCTAATGTAAAAATAAGTTAAACTTTACAGTATTACAGTAACACTCAAATCTTTGGAGTTTTTCAGGTCCCAGGCAGGTTTGCAATGAGTTTGTGTATCTTGATATAGCAAATAAATTGAACTTATAGTATGCTGGTTTTTTTACTAAGTCTTTGCGAAGTCTGTGTAAACTTGCCAGAAAACATGTTCACAAGCTAGAGTGAAAAGCATTTCTTAAGTCTTACGAAAAAGTTCCTCTTTAAGGGGTAGCCCATGCTAACTAGAATATGGAGTAAACGTAAGAAATATTGCTTAATGAAGTAACAGGGTTTTTTGTTGTTTGACTACTTCATAAACGGTTAGGTTAGAACTGTGGTCTTTTTTCAGCAACTGCTTTTTTTTTTTTTTTTTTTCCTTCCTCTTAAAGCTCTGGAGGGTTGGTTGGTTCTTTGGTTAGGTTGGGTTGGGTTGTTGTTTGGTTTTTTTTTTGTTTGTTTGTTTGTTTTTTTGGTTTGGTTTGGTTTCAGGAAACTGGGGAAACTTTTATTTACATTTACTATTTCTCCATTCTGTTCCTGAAGTTAGGTCTGGTTACCTGTAAAGCAGAATTTGTATTGAATTTCAACAATGATAAATTAAAAATCAACTTTTAAAAGTTTCTTGTTTTTAAGGAAACATTTTAACCAGCCATTGTTAAATGTTTCTAGCCAGTTTCCTTTCTAGTAAATTGCGAGAGAGAAGTGGATGACTCTGTTGCATTAGAATTTACCTGGAGAGAAATAAGCAAACAAATAAGTAAGGTAGCTGTTATTTATCTCCTTTCTGAAGAAATAAAGGAATGTATTCCGTGAGCATAACTGTCATAGGGGTTGTGTGGGGAGATTTTCTTATTACTATTTTCTTTCGCTTGTCAGTCTCTGGCAAGACTGGCCTCTTGTTTCACAGGGGGTCAGAGCATTTGTACCACAGACAAAGGATACAAACCTTTACAGTTGGCAGAGATAAGGTACCACTCCACTTTCCTCTTTGCTGCTAGTAACTAGTTGTTACGGTCAGTGACTGAAGTCACACAGCTTCCAGACACCCATGCCCTCCAAATGGCGAATAAAATCAAGGAGTGTATAATATGTAACATATATGTGACACTATCCTTCAAGTATCTAAATAGTCAGGTAAATATGTACTTTTTCCTCTACAAAAATGAAGAGTTTGAGCCTACGCAAATTGGAATCAAAAAGGAGAATGGAAGGAACATGGACTCACTCTAGGTATCATATAGGACCTTGTCACTTTCCGTGTATTGCGGTGACAATATTTAAAGTGTCGTAGCCTTGAAAAGCTATCCAGTGGCCTTGAAAGCTATCCAGTAACATGATCCATGTGGCAATAATGCTGTTCCAGAAGAATGTGCTGTGATACCAACTTAAGTAATGAAAAGTAAAAGAACTTATGAGAAATAATGCTGCCCCTACCTAGTCACATTTGGCTAGGAGTCCTTAAATCACTAGGGACTAGAGTAGTAGAATAATTTTTAAAGCGTTGTTAAACTTTTTAAACTATAGTAAAATTGATATGACATATAATTATTTCTGTAGAACTTTTGTTGTTGTTGTTTAGACTATGTTCCCAATAGAAAAATCACATTGGCAGAGTGATAAACACCAGCATTTCTAAAAGAGGCTTGCATTGCCTGTAGGCTTTTTGTAC